GTGCACTTACATGTGTGCAGGCAAAACATTCATACACATAAAATAAAAATAAATAAGTAGCTGGGCCTGGTGGTACATGCCTTTAATCCCAGCACTCAGGAGGCAAAGGCAGGTGGATTTCTGTGAGTTCAAGGTCAGTCTGGTTTACATAGTGAGTTCCAGGCCAGTTGGGGCTACAGGAAGACCCTGTTTCAAAAAGTCCACAAAAAAGTAAAAATAAATAAAAGAAAGGGAGTCTCACATAGACGGAACTGGTTAAAGGAAGGAGCCAGGGGCTCCTCCCAGCCCATGTGACCTTAGGAACAGATCCTCAAACAACTTTAAGAGTAAAAATAAATTGATTTATTTGGGCGAACTGTATGGTCTTAAACACCCAAAAGGAAAGTATAACCTAAGAGTAAAGTCATCAGTATACTTTAAGAGTTCAAGGGATTACACGTCTCAGACATCAGGCTTAAGTCTATATAAAAAGTTATTTAGACAATTATTTCTCATTGATGATTTTGTTCCTAACCAGAAAGTGCTGCTCAGATGTAAGACTTCAAATCTTGGTCTCCAATACTGTAGTGCCCACCTGTAGCTAAGGGAGACAACCACTATTGTTCTAAAATGATGGATAAATTGTTTTCTCCCCCTACCTAGAAGCCTTTGGGAGGGAACTGGCACTGATTCTAACCACTCCAACAGCTATCAAAATACCTGAAAGCAAATCCTGAGTCCATCACTCTCAAGTCCAGCCTTGACAGACAAAATGAGGAGGAACCCAATAGTGATAGATGAAGAAGGTGATGGATGAATCCGGTTGATCGGGAGAAAGTACCAGGACACAGGTAAAACTCTAGCGGAGCTGGGCGTGTTGGCACACGCCTTTAATCCCAGCACTCTGGAGGCAGAGGCAGGCAGACCTCTGTGAGTTCAAGGCCAGCCTGGTCTACATAGTGAGTTCCAGGAATGCTAGGGCTACAGGGAGACCCTGTCTCAAAAAGACCAAAAAAAAAAAAAAAACCCCCAGCGGAATTAGAAAAGGAACACAGGGGACAAATTCCCTTCTGGGCAGGGAAAATGTCTGCCCCAGGTCGTGAGCTGGGGTCTTTTACAGGGGGAGGCTTCTAGGGGGTGCAGAAGGCGGGAAGATGTATTTTTTAAAGGGAGGGGAGTGGGACTGTTAAAACCTGCCCCCTTTAGAGATCAAAAGGGAAGCCTGCTGTGTTGGCCAAACAGTGGAGAAAAGTCTGCTTTTGACTTCAAAGACCAAGGTGTCTTTCTCAGGGGCTTGCAGAACCATGAGGCCCTCTTGGTGAGGGGGCGTGGCTGCTGTGTATCTGAACCCTAACAAATAGAGGGATGCTTTTGGAAGCTCTCATCAAGAAATTCCAATGGACTCTCTCTCTCATACGAACATTTGAAATTTGCCCTGTTCTGACTTTTTTCTAGTTCCATGTCTAGAACTTGTAATGCTAATTACTCTTGCCTTTACTTCTCCTTCACATCTCCCATTCACCAGTCACGGACTTTCTTTTCCCCCTACAGATAAGAGTTATGCAATCTGGGAGTCTTTTAGAAAGACCCACCAAAGGGGTACTCCATTGCCTCACCCTGCATCCCTGTTCAGCATGGAAGAAGCCAGAGCAGTCTGCATTCAGATTCCCTATCTGCAAGCTGGGTAACCCCTTCAGAGAATGGTGTGATAAGAATACGAGGTAGGAGCATGGAGGAAACCAGAGGGGTCTGTGTCCTGATTCCCTATCTGCAAGATGAGTGACCTCTTCAGAGGATGGTGTGATAAGAATAGCAGGTAGGAATTGGCTAGGTAGTTAGTTCAAAAAGACCCCAAAGAAAAGTAGCCAGTTTCTTGGCTAAAACTCCCAATGTCCTTGGGCCTCTTAGGAACATACTCCATTCCAAAACATATTCCATTGCAAAGGCCAAAAATGTCAAAAGTATTTGGAGCTCTTACCTAATCCTTAAACAATTTTAGGGTTATCTCTTCAGAGGGGGGGATGTTAGAGTAGCAAAAAGCCTCATGGGAAAAAAAAAAGAAAAAAAGTGATTTGGAGATATGGGAGGAGTTGGAGGGGAGGGAATGGGCATGGATTTGATCAAAACACCTCATATGCCTATATGCCTGTATGCAATTCTCAATAAATTATTTAAAAAAAAAAGAAAGGGAAGTCTAGACCCAGACACTGAATCAGAGTGAGAGTGTCCCAGCAGTAACCAGCTAGGCAGCAGCTTGGTGGTGCCCAGGGCCTTTGGAGCAGCTGCCGTCCTGTACCGGAGGTCGCCTGCCACTGTCCGTAAACTGTTCCTTATCTAGCATTAAGTACTTTGAGTGCTCAGTATGGCCCAGTCCTCACATCGAACTGATTCCACTTGTTTCCACGGAATCTGACTTTGCCATGAAGTGGACATGTCCCATGGGCTCTGATACGACACAGGAAGACGGAAGACAGCCCTGGTAGACGATCACAGCTACACCAACATCTTCACCTACAGGGTTGGGAGGCTGGTTTGCCAGTCCCAGCCTTTGGTATGTCCATCATTTCTTGGATTCCTACAAAGACTCCTTGGGAAGGATAAACGATGGAAATTCTCCTATCCCCCTTGCAGGAACACAAAACCACAAAGGTGTGGCTGATGGCAAGATGGCACAGTGTTTGGCACAGGCAGATGCTGTCCTTCATGAGACAGCATGGGACTGCTCACTGCACCCTGAATGGGGCACCTGCCACGCCACCGTCCTCCAGGCCTCTGGGAAAGTATGGGGCACACTGGTTGGTAACCCCCAATGTGCAGCCAGGCTCTGAACATTTTGTCCCTCTGGTTGATTGACTACTGCTGGATATGCAAAGTACCCTTGGAATATTTGCCATCCAGCAGGACATTTATTTGTGGGCTATGCAGGCCAGGGGTGGCCCTCTCCTGGTTGTCTTGGAAACCTGAATCCTGTCTTCCCTGAGTCTATCTGCACAGTAGTCCTTCTTCCTGGATCTGCCCCAAAGTTGGAGGCCATGGTCATTCCTGTGCTCCTGTTGTGCCAGAGCCCCTCTGGGGCCCTCTTGCTTGTTCTCAGACGTCCCCCTGACTCTGGACTGTTCAGCTGGCCACGACCGCTGTCCTGGGCTTCGGGGCTGCTCTGCCTCAGGCTGCTGGCTGGTGAGCTTCCTCTGAGCTACATTGACTTCTCATGCTTATGAGCTCGGCCCAGGGTGTTCTCCACAGCATGTAGAACTGTGTGTGTGTGTGTGTGTGTGTGTGAGTGGTGTATGCATGTGGAGGTCAGAGGGTGACATGGGACAACTTCCTCAAATGCTTCTCCATCTTATTTTTTGAGACAGGGTCTGCCATTGAACTGGAGCCCTCCCAGCACTGGGACCGCAGACATTTATGTGGGTCCTGGGGATTATTAACTCACATCTTCATGCTTATGCAAGTCCTTTACTCACTGAGCCATCTCCCTAGCCCACTTTGAAGCAGAAGGCTTGGGGAGGCGTTCTGTGGGAAGAACAATACGCCAGGGGTTCATAACAGCCATCGGGCTGGCTCTAGACACCCCTGTACTCTCTCTACAGATCCTGCTGGTTTCTCTCCTGACTGACTTCTGTCTTTTGCTGGCTTTGTTGTTCTAGGATGTGGCGTAGCCTAAAACCAGAGGGAGAATGTGCCGGACACATGTCTTGCACACGTAAACATGCATGCACACATGTGTGCCCTCTATGCATGGACTCTGCACCCGTGATTTGACCAACCTGGGATCAGAGACACTTGGAGAACCTGCAGCTGCGTGGAACATGCTGACTCGTTCCTGTCCCAAACAGAACGACATGATGTAGGCACTGTGGGGGTAACGGTCAAGGTACCAGGTGTGATAAGCAGCAAAGATATGATTTACAGTGTGCAGGTGATGCACGCAGCTTCAAGGTGAGCACGGTGTCGCTTTCCAGAAGGGGTCGAGGACTGTTGGGTCTCCAGGGGACTGATGCGCATACATGGGCGTGAGTATAAATCCAACATGGCATCAGATGCGGCTTGATAAAGGCAAAAGGTGGTGAAGCGGGCGTCGGAAGCTTCCGACAGATGGAAGGTGTCGCGGGAGCCAGCCAAGCAGGGGACTGGCCTCTGCTGTAACGTCATGTAAGGGCAGAAGTGCAGCAGTGAGGGCCCCTCTGGAGTTGGACCCTATTCCTACGGATGCCTCCCGCACTGGCTTATGTAGGATTAAGATGAAAAAGTGAAATCAGGAAGGGGTGTAGAGAGAAGGCCCTGTCCACACAGAGGGGGGCAGAGGCAGAAGCAGCGGAGCATGGCGGTCATGCTGGAACCCCAGAACTTGAGAGGCTGAGGTGGGAAGACTGAGGTTGGAATCTGCAACATAGGAAGGAGAGAGAGAGGCAGTTCCCAGGCCAACAATGAACTATTCAAAGACGGGGGAGTAATAGTCAATATTCTGCGATTTGCCCAGAGGGATCGGGGCGCCAACGAAATCCAGTCCAGGAAGGGAGGCCCCACGGTGGATCAGCTCCTCACAGGGTGGCTTCGCCAATGGGTCCTTTGTCCCTCCAGAGCTACACAGCTGCTTCCCAAGATCTGGGTGGTGGCCAGCAGCTGCCCTGTGTTTTGTAAATGGGGAGTTCAGAGTCCAGATGCTTGAAGGAATGAGAGGCATAAGTAGGGGACAAGTGACCATATCAACTGTGACGGGTGTGGGCTGGGCTCCCTGAGCAGACACTGTGCCACCCAGAATGTCCCCACTGCCTGTCCCCCAAACAGGAAGAGGGACAGGGCATCTCTTCTCTGGGACAGAGTCCCCCAGACACACTGAGGGTTTGAGTGGTAAATCCCACCTCCCTGCAAGTGAGCAACGGCTGTTGCTGTGTCTGCGGTCAGGCCTCCCACATTATCACACCTGTGCATGGTCCCCCAGGTTCAGCCCCTGGCTCCTGCACATGGCACGGATGCCTGCCTCTGCTCATAAACACAGGACATGCACACGTCCCACACTCGGGCGCCATTCTGACGTTTAATGTGGAATTTACAAGGATCCTGCGTCACATCTCACATCTCACCGCTCAAGAGGCTAAGACACACCCTTGGGAAAGCACAAGAGTCCTTGGTCTCTACTGAAGATCTCATCAGAAGCCCATGGGTGCAAAACTCTACCAAAGAGAGAGTACAGACCCATTTCTGTATAAGAATATATTATTTAAAAGACAGTTTAAAAATAAAAATTCTGTACAGCATCATGAATTCCTGTTTTTGTGTCCATGAACAAAACAGTTCTTAGAAAACATGGTCTGGCGGCAGCAGGTCGTCTGGGTGCGATCGTCCTTGCATGAAGGATCCCTCGGAGCTCTGCCAGCCCTGTCTGGTCACTGGCCACAGATGCTTTCTCTGGCACAATCTGCTGGAAAAGGAGGAGGGTGGCAGGTTTGTCTCTGTGGGGGCTGGAAAGGGCAGGTGGTGGCATGTATGTCTCAGGAAGTAGAAATGGCGATTTGTGGTAAAAAAGCAGGGTTGGGGGCTGGAGAGACAGCTTGGTAGTTAGAATGCATGCTGCTCTTGCAGAGGACCCAAGTTTAGTTCCCAGAACCCACGTGGTAGCTCACAGATGCCTAGAACTCCAGCTTCAGGGGATCTAGCTCCCTCTTCTGGCCTCCATGGACACCTACACTCATGTGCACATACATATACACAAATAATTAAAATTAAAAAAAAGAAAGCAGAAGGGGCACAAACTGGGGGATGAAGGGAACCAGGTGTAGGGGAGAAGGAAGGGGTGCATGGGAGAAGAAGGAACGGGTGTGGGGGAGAAGGAACAGGTGTGGGGAAGGGCAGTGTGGCCAGGAATGAACGGAACAAGGTATATGAAGACACGTACGAATACACCATGATGAATACTGTTATTTACATGCTATCCTAAACATTTAATTAAAAACATAAAAGAATAAGGTTGGGGCTGGAGATGGCTCATCAGTTAAGGGAACTTACTGCCCTTTATTTGCCCTCCAAGGTTGACTAAGTTCCAGGGGACTATGGAGCATCTCTCAAAATGTCCTGTAATGGTGGTGGGTCACCTGTCCAGGGAGGCCATGGAGACCCCACCAGATGGACTTGATCCAGTGTCCAGTATACAAAGAGGAGGGTCAACACAGAGGAAGCATTTCCTCCATGCTTCCAAGTGAAGCCAGCCATGGTCGAGCAGGACCTTTGACATCTTTACATAGATGGAACTGGTTAAAGGAAGGAGCCAGAGGCTTCTCCCAAGCCCACGTGATCTCTGAGAAATAGATCCCCAAACGACCTTAAGAGTAAAAATAAATTGGTTTATTTGGGCCAACCGCATGGTCTTAAATACCCAAAAGGAAAGTATAACCAAAGATCAAAGTGATCAGTATATTTCTTTATGAGTTCAAAGGATTAAAATTTATTTTATTTTTATTTTATGTGTATGAATGTATTGCCTGCATATGTGTAAGTGCACTGGTGTTGTGCAATGCCCAAGGAAGTCAGAAGAAGGCATTGGATTCCCCTGGAACTGGAGTTACGGACGACTGTTAGATGCCATGTGGATGCTGGGAATTGAACCCGGATCCTCTGTAAGAGTTCCCTGGGTGCTCAGTGGAGAAGGACACTCCCTCAGTTGCTAAAGCTGCAACAATGTCACTGTAACTTCTGTACAGATAGGGGCTCTGAGCCAGAGGTAGGGACACACGCCCGTCACCTGCAAAGCTTCTCCTAGAGGCATGTCTGAGGCTGGAGTCAAACCCAGGCCAGCTTCTGCAGCTCCACGCAGAACTAAGGAGTCCTCAGCTTACCTGGCAGCACTCAATAGACACGCACAGCATTGCACCACAGCACATGCTGGCTGAGTGGTTGCGCCGAGTGAGGGGCGGCACTGGCAGGTGTCGGGGGACATGACTGGTGACAGGAACCAATGCTTTCAAAAAGCTCAGTTACTCCAGCAGCTCAGCTACTCCAGTTGCACTTGATAAAACAGTTCATCTTATGAGTGGTGCACATCCTAATAATTGATCTCTTCTCTAACCAAAGCATGACCCCTTTCCTTCAGAGCCCAATTCTAATTAGAGTATGCTCAGGGGAAAATATGCATGGATTAAAGTTTCACTTACTTGATGAAGCTAGAGAGATGGCTCAGTGTTTAAGAGCACGTGCTGCTCTTGAAGAAGACCCGGGTTCAATTTCCAGCACCCATAAGATGGCTAACAGCCACCTGTAACTTCAGTTCCCTCTTCTGACCTCTGAGGGCATTGCACAACATGGGTGCACTTACATTCATGCAAGCAATGCACTTATGCACATTAAAAAAAAAAGTTTTGTTTATTTGAAAGCAGGCTGCATGCTGTGGTTGGAGCTGTGGTTTGCCTCTGCCCTTGCCCTATTAGCACATCATACAAGTGACATGGTTTGCATGTGTGCCCTGAGGGTTTGTGTGCTCACGTTCCACCCCCACTGTGAGGCTTGAAGATGGAAGCATCTGTGATGTTGGGTGGGGGTTGAGGGCTATTAGGAGAGACAGGGCACCAGGGCAGATCCCCCTCCCACTGCCCCACGACTGAGTTTCTGGTGAGGGACCACACGCAGGTGTGCATGCAAACGCACGTGCACACACACCTGTCTCCATGCACAGACTAGTGCGCTCTTGCCTACCGTATGCCTCACCGTGTGCATCTAGGCATCAGTTCAGGGGAGAACGGCGTTCACTGTTTTTCACATCTCTGTTTTCCTCTGTGGAGTCTGTGGTGGCCCCAGAGGTCAAGCTCTCTGTCTTCTTCTGTAACTAAAACAGAGAACAGAGCAGGTTAGAGTAGGCCCCAGGTAGCCAGTGGGCAGGCTGCCTGAAGATGCTCAGATGACTACATGCACGCATGTGCGCGTGCTTGCCCTAGGAACAGCTTGGGTGCTGGCAATCTGCTCGTGACCTGGGATATGACCCTGGGCAGCAATGTCTGCCTGAGGCTAGCCATAGCCACAGCCCTAGTGCCTGGCAGTGGCGGCCAAGTCTTTGGCTCAGGCACCATTCTATCACCTCTTTGGCCTCCCTTTTGAGACTTGGACGGTGGCCTGCACAGACCCGGTGTTCCTACTGGACAGTCACATGTAGGAATTTCAGACTCAAGACCTCCAGAGCAATGGATTATGGGATGGCCATGGTGGCAGAGGGCCCATGCAGCCTTCTTGTTGGGGGCTCAGCAGGGGGTGTCGGCTTGTCGGTGCCTTTGGCATTGTACAGCTTGCTCAGCTTTTAGACGTTCAGAGCTATCCTGTGATTTCTTGGCAACAGAGGCCAATCAGGGAGAGACCAAGCTTGCTGGTCTGTGCTTTCAGTCAACATGAAGCATTTACCAAGCACCTGTGACATGCCTGGCATTGCACACAGGGCGTGTGTGTGTGGTATGGCCCATGTGGCTGAGGGAGAGGTGACCTATACCACATCAAGTATAAGAAAGAATGCAGAAAAGATGGGTAAGGGCCCTTAGTCACTGGGAAGCCCTGACAGATGGGCGCTGAGTGGGAAATGAGGACCGAGGGGCATCAGGTGGAATGGTGGGCGCACTGAGAGCAAGGGCAGGTCTAGGGGATGTATGAAAAGTGGGGTGACTGTTCTAGGTACATTGGGCACCTGGTAGGAGGTAGGCAGAGGGAAACCACATCAGGCAGCCATTTCAGACAGGGGACATAGATTTTGAGTTAGGAGTGGCAGAATTCCTGGAAGTAGACAGGCGTCAGAGCACACAGAGGCTCTAACAGCTGAACCGGCTCACTGGAGTCTGTGGAAAGAACTTAGGGCTCTGAGCCTGTGACCTTGACCCTCTCCTGAGATCCAGCATCAACCCAACAGCACCTAAAACCTCTCCATCTTCAGCACCAAGAGTAGCCGGTGTGCCCAGCCTCTGTTACAGAACAGTTCCACACTGTGCCTGAGTGTGGAACTTGGGGGGTTGCTTCATTTTTGGGTCTCTTTTCATGTAACCCCCACTGAACAGGAAGCTGGGCCTGGAAGGCAGGAGCCAGGGCTGTGGGGCACTGCAGAGGGCGATGCACTGCGGGTCCCCAGGTTGCACAGCTGTGGTGCTGGCTCCTGTTAGCCAGCAGACTCTGGGAAGTGTAGGGCTGGTTTCAGACAGTACCTGGGCCCCTCCCCTCACTGAGCCTGCCTTCGGGGGAAGGGAATTGCATGCCCAGCCCCCAGTACCAAGCCCCACATGGCTTCACCTCCTTCATGGCATCATCCAGCTGCTTCAGCTCCTCGTAGTGCTCTCTGGACTCCCAGAGGGGCCGCAGCATGGTCTCCTCCACCACGGGGAAGAGCTGGCAAGCACAGGATCCAAAGTCAGTCCACTACTCTTGGGCTCTTAGGAGGTAGAGGACGGGAGGAGAGTCTTCAGGCCTTTAGGGTGCAGTGGGCCCCAGGGGGTTCACTTTAACAGTGGCTTCAAATCGGGGAAACTCAAAGTGATGGGGTGTGAGCCTCCTGGTCAGCTTCAAGCCCTGGAGACCTTGGTGTAGTCCTAACCACCTTCTCCATCTCCAGGACAGGTTCCCATTTCCTTCGATCCTTCCAGGACCTCAGGAAGCCCACTGCCTCTTCCTGTTGCCCCCCCCCCCCACATTGAGACAAGGGTAGGTGCAGTCTCTGAATATCATGTAGGGGCAGATCTAAGAAGACTCCTGGTGGCAGTCCTAGGAACGGGAAGGATTTGGTCTCTGGGTGACTCTAAGACACCCAGAGAATGATGGGCAGGAGGTGGGGGTGGGGTGAGTGGGCTGGGCAGAGGTGAGTCTGCTTTGGATCTGGAGGGGACTGGACGTGGAGGCCTTGGGCAGGAGGCACAGGGAGCTCTGGGGACCCGGAGGGCTTGAGGGGAAGAGGAGGGACAGGGCCAGGGATGCAGAGGCTGGGTGGGAGAAGACTGGGACGTGGTTGCGAGGGTTCCCTAGCCTGAGGGCAGCAATTCCAGATGCTTCTTTAGGGTCTGGCCTGGTGGGGCAGGAGAGCCAATGGCTGGTACAGGCTGGCTGTGTTTGAGGCTGGCAGAGGTGGGCAGGGGCAGAGTGGGCACTGAGGGCCCAACAGACAGCCCGTGCAGAGCCCTGGAGGGGTGATTCGGACACAGTAGGGAAGGAATGGCTACCAGGCAACCATCACTATGACAGCAGGTCATGAAGCTGCAGAGGGCTTGCATGTGTCTGTGTGTGCATGCACATGTATGTGTGAGCATGCATGTTCACACGTGTGTGTTTACTGCTGCTGTACACAGCACAGTCACTCACCTTGGTCACTGTTTCGAACATTGGGATCAGGACAAACTTGATGAAGCCGATCTGGGCTGTTGCCTTGGTCACTTTGTCTCGGTCCATGAAGGGGGCCACGGGAAGGCCCTCTGACTTCTCACGGTCGCTCTGTCGAACACAGGACAGTGGCATTAAGACACAAAGGCCCATGGAATCTGGGGCATACTGAGCAGCCCTGCTTGTAGAGGGGGAGCATGGCACATGACCCAGAGGAGACCTCTGACTGGGCTGGAGCAGAATGGCAGTGAGAACCTGGACACTGGTGCCACACAAGTCAGTGCCGGGAGTGCAGGTCAGAGCCACAGGGACCAAGCCTAGGACAGGCAGCGTGCCACAAGTGCATCAAGGGACAGCGCACAGGGCTGAACATAACAGCTACTGTCTACATAATTTTTAAATATTTTACTTATTACTTTTATGTGTATGAGTGTATTGAATGCATGTATTGTTAAGTACACCCGTGCCTGAGGAGGTCAAAAGAGCATCCAATTCCCCTTGAACTGGAGTTATGGATGGTTGTGAGCCATCATGTGGGTGCTGGGAATCGAACCCTGGTCCTCTGCAAGAGCAGCCAGTGCTCTTAACCACGGAGCCATCTCTCCAGACGCCTGTCTACATAATTTTTAAATATTTTACTTATTCCTTTTATGTGTATGAGTGTATTAGATGAATGTATTGTTAAGTACACCCGTGCCTGAGGAGGTCAAAAGAGCATCCAATTCCCCTTGAACTGGAGTTATGGATGGTTGTGAGCCATCATGTGGGTGCTGGGAATCGAACCCTGGTCCTCTGCAAGAGCAGCCAGTGCTCTTAACCACGGAGCCATCTCTCCAGACGCCTGTCTACATAATTTTATGCCTGTGTCTCCCCATGACTATCCTATGACCTGCCCTGCTTGGCCTCACCCTTTAAGAGGTATTTATTTCTCTTGCCGTCAGACATTTATTTATTTTTTGGTCTTTTTGAGACAGGGTCTCCCTGTAGCCCCAGGTGGCCTGGAACTCACTATGTAGACCAGACTGGCTTTGAACTCACAGAGATCTGCCAGTCTCTGCCTCCCGAGTGCTGGGATTAAAGGCGTGCACCACCATGCTCGGCCTTATTTATTTTTTAAGATTTATTTAAAAAAAAAAGGTTTGTTTATGTGTATGTTTGTCTATATGTATGTATGTGTTGGACATGTGTGCCTGGTGCCTGTGGGGGCCAGAAGAGGACACATCCGGTCCCCTGGAACTGGAGTTACAGACAGTTGTGAGCTGCCTGACATGGGTGCTGGGAACAGAAGCTAGGTCCTCTGAAAGAGCAGCAAGTGCTCTTCACCACTGGACCGTCTCCAGTTCCTTCCCTTGGTTCTTGCGTCTTGACTCTTACCCAGTCTGCTTGAGGAGTTGGCCTCTAAAAGTGGTCTATGGGTGGCGACAGGCTACAGTTTCACATTAGTTTTTCTGGCGGCCACTGTCTCAAGGCTAGGATGTAGCTAGCCTATGCCATTTCTGCTGCATGCCTGTGCAGAGGGTGTTGTGGAGGTTGCTGGAGGCGTGGACGGGTATGTCAGCCACCTCAGCCTGCACTTTCCCACACAGCCCTATCTATTGGACCGGCAGACGTACTTGGACTTTGATGGTGTGTTTCTTACCTGCATAAAATACTCCTCCAGTAAACAGTCCACCCAAGGTTCTGCCACCTCCATGGGACGGACCTCGTTGGAGATGTCGCAGCACTTTATGAGAATCATTTTCAGCTGAAAAGGGAGATGTGACACTCGGGATGGGAGACAGCACGGCTGCCACGTGCGTGGGCGACTGGACTCAGCACCACAGGCAGGGGAAGAGGCAGAGGATGGTGGTGGGGGTAAGTGACGCTGGGCCATGAATGACAGGTCTTTCCACCCAAAAGGACACCCTCCCTTTCTTTCTCCCTCCCACAGTGCCACCACACACTGCAGTCTGTTTGGAACTCAGCCGCCCAACCCCCAGGACAGTGACCTGCTGCACAGATGCTTTTAGGATACCAACTATAAACTGTCAAGTTCAAAAGCATGTGTGATCTCTCTGTTATGTTGAGAGTCTCACTGTGTAGCTCAGGCTGGCCTCCAACTCCCTATGTCTCCAAGCCTGGCCTTGAACTCCCGATTATCCTGCTTCCCAATGACAACTACCAGGGTTATGATTACAGGTATGTGCCATTATGCCCGGCTCTCAATTCTCAATTCTGTATCAGGGCTGCAGCAGGAAGATTACAAATTCAAGACCTGCCAAGGCAATTGAGTTCAAGGCCAGCCTGGGCAACTAAGACTCTGTTTCAAGGTGCACAGTAAAAATGGCTGGGGAGGTAGCTCAGTGGTCAGTGTTTACCGAGCTCACAGGAGGTCCAGCGCCTTCAACAAGTAAAATAATTTATGAATTAAGGGAGATACAGAAGTGCTTGCAAGGTCCGGCCTGAGTCCTTTCCTCCCAGCCTTCTTGGCTACCCCAGTGCAGATGTCTTCTATCTGCGGTCTTGTGCCCACTGCATCCTCTCGGGTGCTGTCTCCTGGGTGGGTCTAGCTCCTGTGCTCTCCCGGGCATGAGGCTGGCTGCTCCCCTGGGGTCTACCAGGGCTGGGTCACTGGGAGTGCTTTAGGGTCAGGTCAGCTCAGCCAGAGCATTCTGCCCAAGCGTTTTCCCTGAGCGGGCTATAAAACCAGCTTGATCTGGCTATGGGGGCTGGAGTCCCATGTTGTACCAGGCACACCCAGGCTTGGTATTATCACCTTCCTTGGTGAAAGTGGGAGCCACTGTCCGGGGTCTGAGGCCGAGCAGGCAAGAAAGTCTCCGTGAGGCTTGCAGCCATGGGGCCAGAGAACACGGCCTGGCTCAGCACTTCCCTGCTATGTGTTAGAGCGGGCTCCAGCCCAGAGGCAGTTACAAGGCCTGCACTGGCTGGCTTCATTGGGAGCTGCCCCGGACCACAGTGCCCGACTAGACACAGCGGCCTCTGCAGAGGTCAGGACAGGGGTGTTGCTGGGTCCCCAGGGCTGTACTTTGCTTCCTTGGCCCAGGTACCTCCCTCAGAGGCCTCCCGGGGACTTGGGGACTCTGGACTCTCCCTCCCAGGCCTATCCCTTTCTTTCCCAGCCTTAAAGGGGCCTTGCAGTGAGGTAGGTGCAGTCGGGTTGGTCCTGTCCCAGGGAGAAGTTCCTCCCTCATCTTCCCATCCTCAGTGATGGCAGAGGGTAGTGGCGGGCTGCTTCCGGTTCGGGCCAGTGTCCCACCTGCCCTTCTTCACACTGGGCAGGGACCCTCTGGCCACCTGCCTGGCTTGCAGCCCCAAAGCTGGCTTTCCTCATGTCACAGAAGGAAATAACCCTGCATGGAGCAGCTTGCTGGCCTCCCTCACCCGCCTCCCATCATCTTTGGTTTCATTCCTTTTGTTTTTCTCTAGACTTTATTAGATCTCACCGTGAACCATGGCCTCAGCCAGGTTTGGCTATCAAGTTACCTAAAGATATTAAGTGGAACATTCCAGAAATAAACAGTCATCAGTTTTAAGCTGCATGCTGTTCTAAGTAGGATGGGGAGATCTTGAACCATCTCCATCCTACTCAGGATGTGAATCTTCCTCTATTGTTCCACGCTGAACACACTGTCCGCCTACTGATTACTTAGCAGCTCTCTTGGGTGTCGGACCTACGCTCACTGTATCAAAGGGCTTGCAGCCCAGCAACCTTTATTGTCTTTATGGGTGTCAAAGCACAGGATCGCGTGGTGCTGGCCGTTTTACTGCAGCATATTGGTACTGAGAGTTATTTTGGTGTCAGGCACCTAATCTGTAAATTAAACTTTACCATGGGAATGTGCGTATAGGAAAAAAGGACAACAGTACACACAGGGCTTGATCTCTTAATGGCTTCCGGCACCCTGGGTTATAGGTAGGTAGGAGCCACCTGAGGAGCTCAGGTCCTCTGCAAGAGCAGCACATGCTTTTAACTACTGAGCCATCTCTCCAGCCCCAATTAATTTCTGTGATAGTATCTTACTCTAGTTCAGGCTGCCTTGGAACAAACTATATGTAGCCCAGGCTGGCTTCAAACCTGTACTCCTCCTGGCTCTGCTTCTCTAGTGCTGGGGATGACAGCTGTGAATTGGCATGCTGGGTTTGCATTTTACACTTTAGAAAGGACAGACACTGCAAACTCAGTCACCTTCTTGAGGGAAAAGGCTGTCCCTGAGCCAGGGGGCTCTAGAGGAGGCCGCCCTGCCCACTGCTGGGCTAGGAGGAATGTGATCCTGAAAGCCAGTCACTCCAGCATTCCAAGGACAGGTGGGGCATACGGGTTTCGGGGTTTCCCATCTGAGCTGTGGCTCAGCTCTGTAAAGAGACAGAACAACACAACCTACCAGGGTTAGGTGTTCCTCGTTGCTATAGTCAAAATTCTCCATTTTTTCTTTGAAAGAATCCATAATTTCAGCATGCCTTGCCATGTCGGTGGCCAAGATGAGCGTGATCATCCCCTGAATGACGAGAGGACACATGTCACCTCAGGGCAGGGCCCCTCCCGGGCTCTGAGCCCTGTGTGACTGTTACCCATCCCATCCCGTGTCCACAGACTGCAGATCATAGGCTGACAGATTAACGGATGCTTGCTTGTGAAACCTAGCAGATTTTAGCCCAGGACAGACGGTCTCCTAGATTTAGTCACCTAGATAACACAGTTCATTCCTTTCAGATTTGCTGATGGATATCAATAACAAGTTTCCAAGAGTAGTCTCTCCTGTTGTATATACAGTATATGTGACCACATGTGTACAGTTTGGGATTTATCAAAGTCAGAACATATTTAATAACATTTCCACCATCAAGTTTGTAAATAAGGCCTCAGTGGGTTCTTAAAATATAAAATGTTTACTGTTATGGTTTGAATAAGGTTGGTCCCCCTCCTACACTTGTGCTGAAATCTGGTCCCTAATGTGACCGTGTGTAGGGGTAGTACCTTCAAGGACTGTTTGGGTCCTGCCCTCATGAAGGAACTGTAGCCATTCTCTCTCACTGGGTCAATTCACAGGGAGTCAACTCTCACTCTCCTGCCTTCTAACCTTCTGTACTTGGTGCTCCCAGAAGCTGAGCAGATGCTGCCATGGAGCCCTCAGACCTTCCAGCCTTCAGAACTTCAGAGAACATAGCCCCTTCCCTTTGTAAGTTAGCCAGTCTGGTATTTTATTAGAGCAACTGAAAATACACTAAGGACAGTTACTTTGTTAGCCAGGTATTAGTTTTAGAAAAGTGGTACAATTCATCTGCCACCTCTACATCCATTCATCCATCTGCTATCCATCCATCCATGCACCCACCCACCATTCATCTGCCATCCAACCATCAACCACCCACTTATCCACCCATCTATCTGCCACCTACCCACCCATCTACCTATCCACCCACCTATCCACCCACCCATCCATCCATCCATCCACCCATCTATCTGCCACCTACCCACCCATCTACCTATCCACCCACCTATCCACCCACCCATCCATCCATCCATCCACCCCCCTATCTGCCACCTACCCACCCATCTACCTATCCACCCACCTATCCACCCACCCATCCATCCATCCATCCACCCATCTATCTGCCACCTACCCACCCATCTACCTATCCACTCACCCATCCATCCATTCATCCACCCACGCACCCACCCATCCATCCATCCACCCATCTATCTGCCACCTACCCACCCATCTACCTATCCACCCCCCTATCCACCCATCCATCTATCCACCCATCCATCTATCCACCCATCCATCTATCCACCCATCCATCTATCCACCCATCCATCTATCCACCCATCCATCTATCCACCCATCCATCTATCCACCCATCCATCTATCCACCCATCCATCTATCCACCCATCCATCTATCCACCCATCCATCTATCCACCCATCCATCTATCCACCCATCCATCTATCCACCCATCCATCTATCCACCCATCCATCTATCCACCCATCCATCTATCCACCCATCCATCTATCCACCCATCCATCTATCCACCCATCCATCTATCCACCCATCCATCTATCCACCCATCCATCTATCCACCCATCCATCTATCCACCCATCCATCTATCCACCCATCCATCTATCCACCCATCCATCTATCCACCCATCCATCTATCCACCCATCCATCTATCCACCCATCCATCTATCCACCCATCCATCTATCCATCCATCCACCCATCCATCCACCCACCCACCCATCCATCCACCCACCCATCCATCTATCCACCCATCCATCCACCCATCTATTTGCTGTCTACCCACCCACCCACCAACCATCTAATCATCCATCCATCTATCCCACAAACATTTATTTAACATCTCTGTGCCAGGTTCAGTATCCCACTTTTCCAAGAAAATAAAATCACCAGCAAAAGTTAAATAAAATCAAATACAAAAGTTAAATCAATCAATATAAAGATTCTCGAACGTGTATCTCTCAGGCAGGGAACATCATTTGCATTTTGAATTATGAACTTTTTCTATAAAGATGGTTATTAATGAAATATTCTTTCCACTATCCCTCCAAACCTTCAGTGACAAAATTAGTTTGTATTTGTATGTGAGCGTGTGTGAGAGAGAGTGAGCGAGTGAGCGAGAGAGAGAGAGAGAGAGAGAGAGAGAGAGTGTGTGAGCAGGTGCATGTGTGCTACAGTGATGCATGGAGGTCGGGGGGCAACCTTAGGCATTGGTCCCTGCCTGCTACCCTGCCTGAGACAGGGTCTGTTGCTGACCACTGCTGTGTATGTGTATGCCGGTTAGCTGACCTGCTAGCACCCAGGGATTCCCCTGATCCACCTCCCACCTCTCTGTGAGGCACACTGGGATTACAAATGTGCGTGCTACTGCATCAGGCTCTATGTGGGTTCTAGGAATCTGAATTCACGTCACCTGGTCTATGTGGCAAGTGCTTTACGCATTGAGCCATCTCTCTATCCCGACAGAATAGTTTTTAAAAACTGGGACAAATGATTCTTGTCTCCAAAATAAAAAATCCCATTTTTTAAATCCCATTCACTTGTGAGGGAGGACAACTCTTAGCATTCCCCATGGTGGCCGGCATAGGGAGATACTGTGTATAGGGCTCTAAGCTGCTCAGAAGACCTTCCTTCTCTTTGGGGATATTGTTTGACATACCCTGTGGGGGACAGCCAGACACTAAGGGATGCTCTAGGCCCTCTGGACAGTCACCAGGTGGCACTGGTCCATGTGGCAGTCTCTTTTCCTAGTGTACCCTTTACCCACTTCAGAGGAAGGCTGGACACGGTTTGTCAATAGACGGCACAAACCCATGGGGTGGGGCTTGAGGTCACAAGCCTACAGGGAGGAGAGAACTTTACCAGGAATCAGTGATTCAATACCGACTGTCACCAAGGACTAACGCTGACTTTGAACTGCTCAGGGTATAGACAGACGGGGAAACCACTTTATGAGTCTGCTGCTCTTTGAGAAAGTAATGAGAGGAGACAGATGAGCGGTTTCTGAGCACTGAGTTCTAGAAGGTCAGATCAGCTGTACAGGGAAGGAGGCGATCTGAGACTCAAAGAGCAAGGTCCGTAGGGGATGGCAGCAGGTGACCCTCGGAGAACCCGGGACACTCCTCTTGTGCATGCCTGGGTGGTCTGGCTGAGTGCTGTCAGCTATGGGGATGTGTCCTCTCACAGTTCTGAGAATCCAAAAGCCAAGATTCAGGCGCCAGCATGGCCATGCTCCCTCCTAAGGCTCCAGCAAAGGGTCCTTCCTGCCTCTCACAGCTTCTGGTGGACCAGTTTCCCTTGGCCACTGGCACACCCATTTCTGCCTCTACTGTCCCATGGTCTCTCCCTGTGCCCACACTTTCTCCTCTGTCCCTCATAAGGACACTTGTCACTGCTTTAGGGCGCGCCCTGGAAATCCACAGGGATATCTGGCACTCCCCACCTAAGTAGGCTGCCAAGACCTTTTTTCCAAATAAGGTCTTGGTCACAGCTCCTGAGGGTCAGATACCACGAAACCCACAATATTTCTGCTAGGCGTCACTCTGAGTCCTTCCCTCCTCCCCTGCAAACAGCACTGGGTGCATACCGACTTATGGCTTAGAGGGGTCCTTTTGTGTGGAGAGGGCTGTTTGGGGGTGACTGGAAGGGCAGGAGCCACTAGGCAGGATAGGCGGCTGGTACAGGTGATGGTGGGATGACCAGGCCATAGGTGGTAGGTGAGTGTGGGTGGGGCTTTGTGGCAGGGGTCAGCTCTGCCAGGCTGGATGTAGCAGACATGTCAGTCTAGGGTCTATACTGCCTCCAGCCAGTTACTACCCTTTAAAAGTCTGTTTCTTCCTTTGTAGGAATGACTTTTAGTAATGGATGGAATCTGGACTACTGGCTTTTAATTAACTCCAGCAAAACTGTGTGTTCTTGGCTTTGATGACAAGTTGGGAAGGACACATGACCCTGGATGAACGTGAACTAGGGATGGAAAGGCCAGTTGGTCTGTAAAGGTTAAGAGTAGAGCTGAACTTGTACTTCCCCAGTGAAGCTGGAGAAACCATTTTGAATAAATTATGGGTGTAGCCTAACCAGAGGACACAGTGGGAGGAAGCGGGTTCCAGAGTCAGCTCCATTGGTAGCGGGTGCGGACACAGCTCCATCTGCACAGGTTGAGGGGACAAGGGAGCTCCACCAGCACAGTTCTGGGAGACAGCAGGCTCTTAACAGATAATTAGGGAACCAGTGTCCTCCAAGTTCAGGCCCACACTTAAAAACTTAATTTGAGTCAGTCTATTTGTTCAGTGATTATGATGTTGGTATAATAATAAATGCCGAATTCCCTAACTACAGGGACAGAGGTTCATCTCAAAGGGAGCAGTCAGGTTGCATTTGTGGCTGTGACATACAGGTGACATCAAGTGTAGGTGGCAGGAGACCCCACCCTTGGGTACCACTCTCAGCCTCAGAGGGAATGAGGAAGGAGGGCTGGTTCCAGGGTCCCTAGTGGGCACTGCTGTGACCAAGAGCCTCTGGGGGCCTCTAGTCCTTGGAGCGTTGGGCTCTGCTCTGACCCTACAAAGTTCTGCCGCAGCCCCAGGGCCCCGGCCCTACATACCTGACGGAGCTGCCTGAAGCCCTCAGGTGGCACGCTGGAGAAGATGTTGCACTCAGGTCGGGCCAGGATCTGGAAGGCAACAGCGCAGTGGTGGTTCTCCAGTGGTGAGATGTCGTTGTAGCGAACGGCCAGCTCTGTGCGGGCGTTGATCTGGTATCTGGGATGTGTGGAGAGAGCAGGAGGCTCAGGTACCCCGCACCAGGCATCTTTATGCCACAGCATACTCGGTGCCTAAGGCGGAAGTGGTGGGGCTGGTGACCAGATGCCCTCTGTTCACATCAGGAACTCTTTCCACCGAACCCAGCTCTCACGTAATTAGATATCCTGTGCCCTGACCCACCTCTCCCTGGGATGCTGCCTTGAAGGTATCAAGGTTTTTTGTTTTTAAAGATTTATTTCTATTTATTTATGAGTGCTTTGTCTGCATGTATGTATGTGCACCACATGTGTGCCTAGTGCCCTCAGAGGCCAGAAGAGGGTGTCAGAACTGGAGTTACAGATGGTTGTGAACTACCATGTGAGTGCTGGGAGATGAACCCCAGGTCTCTACAAGAGCAGCCGGGGATCTTAACCACCGAGCCAGCTCCCTATCCCCTGGCATCAAGGTTCTTGCAAAAACTATCAGATGTTCAGTAGGCAAGATATCAGATGTTTTGAGAGGAAATAGGCGCTCTCTCTCTTCTCTCTCTCTCTCTCTCTCTCTCTCTCTCTCTCTCTCATATATATGTATAACAGAATCCCAGGCTGACCTGGAACTTGGATCCCCCTGCTTCACTCAGCCTCCGAATGTTGGAGTTACAGGAGTGTGCCACCGTCCCATGCAAAGGGCTCTATTTTGGGACCTCTTTGCTGGCACAGGAGCAGGACGGACCATGGTCACTGTGAATCTGAGACCATGCCAGGAGTAGACTGTCGGTTCCATGGGGTGGCATTCTGCCCAACAGAGGCAGGACGGGCTCAATGTTGCCAGAGCAGGGCTCATCCTCCTGGTTCCACTGCTGCTCCTCTCCAGCCCTGCCCTCACTCACTCTGGCCCTGGCCCTCTGCTTATTTCTTTGGAAGCAGTCTGGGGGCAGCTTCCTGGCAGAGTATGGTGCAGAGGGCTGTTGTACACACCTGGGGGGCTGGGGGGGGGCTAGGGCTGCTTCGCACCACAGAGCCTAGGGGCTAACACAAAGGGGTGTGGCTTCCTGCAGAGTTTCCTCTCAGGGGAGACCCAGGGCCTTGAACAAGGTCTGAAAGCTGGGAACTGTGTCCTTCAGGGCTGGGGACCTAGGGTGACAGCTCCACCTGGGGGCTGTCTAAGGGTTAGCTGACAGTTCCCTCATAGTAGGGGCATTTTTCAAAGGAGAAACGAGAAAGAAATCCCAAACATACGTGTTGTTGTATCCTGGATGATCCAGGTCGTGGCAGATGGCTGCGGTCATCAGGACTAAGATGTCCATTTGGGAAAACTTCTCCTGGATTAGGTCAGAGTCAGACATCTGCCCTCATGGGAGGGCAGGAGGGGTGGGGACAGGCTGGGAGGCAGTGGCAGGGGAGGACAGTCCCTGTGGCAATCACAAGCCCCTTGGGCTGAGGGAGAGGAGGGCCCACCACCCAGCAGGGGTAGGGATGGGAGCTGGGGCTGCAGGACCCACCTGCAGGCTGCAGAGCCAGATCATGCTGTACATCATCTGTGCCACGCAGAAGCAGTGCCGGAAGTTGTGGAAGGGGTTGTTCCTGTAGTTGTCATGCACGCAGAGCTGTGGGGAGGAGAGGGAGAGCTCCCTGAGCCCCCTGTTACCTGGCTCTATAAAGCCACCAGGGCCTTGGATGCTGGATGCTGGACCTGTTCCCACCCCAGCCCAAGGATACTCCCGAGTTCATCATCACACAGATATGGAGGCCCAGGAGCTCTGAACACCTCATGGTTCCACCACCTGAGGGCAGGGGTTAAGGTGACCCCCCCAAGGTGTCTACTGAGCCACATGGGGACAGAAGTTAGGAGCAGAGCAGCAGACAATGGACTCCAGGGTCCCATTCCCATAGGATAGTTAACAGGCTTTAGTACGTGGTTCTCAGCCACATTCTGTTCCCATAGAAAAGCATCTGCTACTAAACACTTCCCGTCACACTTACACCTACACCCATGTACATATAACCAACCGCACCATGCACACTCCCAGAGACACTCACATACCCACACGTACTCCAATTCACACATTCTCACAGTCCCAGAGACATACACACATTCTCAGAAACACCCCCCCAACTCCCAGAGACACTCCTATATACTCCCAGATACACAAACACACACACGCACACACACAAATCCCACACACTCCCAGAGAAACACTCTCAGACACACACACACACACACGCACACGCACACACACGCACGCGCAGTGTATGCTCATGCGTGGCTGCCTTGATGGTCCCTCCCTGAAGTATGCTCTTTTCCTTGTTCCAATGAGTGGGACACGAGGACACATGGGCCTACTGACCTTTCAGAACTTCCATGACATTGTTTCCTTTGCAGAAGCGCACTGTCCCCCCAAGATGCGCGGCAGTCCACCCCAGTGTGAGGGAGGGGAACTACCTGGGCTCGGCACTTACCAGCCACCTCCGGAGCGTAATGGGGTTAATGCTGAAGTCCCTCACCAGGCCGAGGTCATGGTACATGTGCTCTAAGCAGCTCAGCATCTGAGGAGACATGGCCGGTGGTCAGCAGTGGGAGAGGGAGGCCAACTGCCCTTCCTGCCCCCTGTGTGGTTCTGGAAATTGCCAGCAGTATGATCCAAGGAAAGTGAGTTCAGCCTCTGGGTGGGAGACACAGCTGACAGCCTTGCAGGACACCCCGATAGGGTGGGGTCTGTGACAGCCTGCAGGTCTCCTGGGATTGACTAGCTCAGCCCAGGAGAGTGTTCCAGGCAAGATAAATACACCACTGGGCAGTGTGATCCACTTCCAAATGACAACGCCAAAATGTTCACACTGCAGCAGAGGTTCAAGGGTGTGATGGTTTGAATGAAAATGTCTCCCATAGGCTCCAAGTATTTGGACATTCTGTCCCCAGACGGTGGCGCTGTTTTGGAGGTTTTAGAAGGTGTGGCTATCCTGGAGGAAGCAGGTCACTGGGGCGGACTTAGAGAGTTCTTAAGCCTTGCCAGATCTCCAGTTGCTCTCGTTTCCTGTGCCTGCTGGAAGATGTAGAACTTAGCTTCCGCTCCTCTTCTCCAGCCACAGATGCCCCATGCCTCCCTGCCAAGACGGACTGTGATTCCCCTGGAACCCTAAGCTCAAATAACTTCTTCCTTCTGTGCACTGCTTGGGTCAGTATTTCTATCACAACAACAAAAAAGTGACCAATACAAAGGGCTGGGATGAGGCTCATCTACTGCACACCTGACAACTGCCCCTTGCTTGTGTAAGGCTAGAGACCAGAAGGGCTTTTCTGAGCAGAAAGAATTGCTTCTCTTGCTGGGACCAGAGGCGCTTTCTAACGTCTTAATCCTGATCTGGAGGATAGGCCTCTCGTCCGGTCAGAGCGCACCTCCTGAGTCTTATTTTCAGGAATTCTGTCTTGTGTGGACACACAGTGGAGGGTGAGACAGATATTCCATTTAGTCCTGCTGTCAATGTTACGACCTCTGACTCAGAGTTTTGGCAACAACTAAGCCAGGGAAAAAGAGAAAAGTGACTTGAAATTATGACGCTGGCCAGAGTGGCTTTGCTTTTGGCGAGAAGGTCTCAGGAGATGTGAGGTTCGAGATACAGAGGAACAAGACAGCCCTGTGGGCTCATGGACCTGGGAGAAAACACCTTCCCCAGGGTCACACATCAGTGCCTGCCTGGTCCTCCCAGGTACCAGTGTCCCAAAATCTGTACAAGGCAGGCCCTGTCCCTGGTGTAGCCTGGCTTGTTTTTCCTGCATCTGTGTACTGAGGGACAACATCCATGTAAGGGACTGAACTGTGTCCCACTGAACACAATACTCGGCCCCACTGTGACCATGTATAGGGACAGGGTCTCTGCAGAGGTGACTAAGGTAAAGAAGTCATCAGGAAGGGCCCAATCCGAAGGTCACTTTGTAGGAAGAGATCAGGCTAGACACACAGAAGAGACTTCTAAGGACATAGAGAGAAGGACGCTGTCTGCGAGCCAAGGAAAACTCAGGAAGGCCCGGCCCTGCGACACCTTGACCTCGGACCTTTAGCTCCAGGCCAGGAAGACAATAAAGTGTTTTGAAGCTGCCCAGTTTGTCAGGGTCAACTGAGCCAAGGAAAAGCGGGCAGGCCGCTGGAGCCCATGCTCTCTCCTTATGTAATATACAAGGACTAGAACGCTGTGGGTAAGGCGAAAGTTGTGAGCAGGATCCACAGGCGTCACAAGCTCATCCTGAAAACTGGAAGTGACCCAGCATGCAGATATGGGAGCTCACGCTGTCACTTACGAAGCACCCTTCGCACACGCCAGCCACTCATCTTCCTTGAGACGCCAATACACATGTAGACCAATGTACATGCATCAGACTTTGGAGATGGTGGCCTTAGAAGGTGCTTCCTTCAGAGTGAAGATGTTCAGGCCCTGGCAAAGGATGGCTAGTTCCCAGGTTGCTGGCAACTGCTGTCCAGAGCCTACAGCCCTCAGGACCCTTAGATTACAGGCCTCTAGAGAAGCCTCTGTTCTTGCCCCAGTGGCCCAGATACCGTTCTGAGCAACCCTGAAGAGATGAAATGTTCCCTGTGAAATCAGTCAAGAGTTGCAGACAACTGCCAGATGAAGCCATCTGCTGTCACTTCTGTGGTAGACGTGGTGGCTCTGGAGCAGGATGGGTGGTCTGTTTCCATGGTGACAGTCCTCGTCTCCAACTGAGCAAATGAATAGGTGACTCCTGGATGCGGTGGTGGGTGCTGGTCTGAGTGGGCACTGATCAAGGAGGGTGGCCTTACAAGGTGACAGGAGGCAGTCGGACGGTGTGGCAGAGCAGCTATCTTCCTGCCGCAGCCCCTCAAAGAAGCCCCAGTGGATGAGAGGCAGCAGGGCGGCATGAGCGCATCTTTTGGGTCTGTTCTGGGAAGGACGGGATGCTTAGCAGAGCTGAGGGTGGATGGTGGCATTGCCCCCAATGGAAAGTGAGTTCCCACAAAGCCTTGACAGTCCCTGTGTCTCATGGCGAGTGGCCACCCAGGTCCTTTAATTGGACATCTTTGCTGTTCACACTTAGGTATGCTAGGGACCAAAGCGCCTGACTCTGGGCATTTCTGGTTTACCACAGCAGGCATCTAGAAACTTCTAGAAGCACCCTACCAGTCTCCCTGTCCAACACTATGGGTAGTGGGAGATGTCACATGGGCTGGGCCCAGCTGGAGGAGCCACCCACCAGGGCCACCTGCCAGCCAGAGAGCAGCTATACAAACAGTCTGCAAAGCAAGGACGAGGGGTGATGCTTCTGTTATGGGTGCGTGAGGTCTTTAGCCTGGGGGGAAACCTTCACCTAGCCGCCGCAGGCAGTGCGGTGCTTAGAGGTTCAGTGGGGGAGGGGACAGGAAAAGACCCCAGGACCTGTTTCTCCGCAGCTCTCACCGGTGAGCCGGGCTTTGTCATGTCCAGGGCTTTGTCACATCCAGCGGGCCGAGGTTAAACAAGGCATCCTGACTGTCCTAGATGATGCCTCAGAAGTAGGGCTAGCTGCCTGCGGGAGTCGAGTTCTGAGCCATCTGTCCTGCCGCTATTCGCCATGGACTTGTGCTGCCCAGGCCTAGGGGCCACCAGCTGCCACACCTCTTCAAAACTCCACCTTTGTTAGCTGTGTCTGTTCTCAGGGACGTGAGACCCCCGCCCCCGACCTAGGAGGGCAGCAGGTCTAAGACATCTCCTTACTCTGACCTCTACATTCCAGACCCCCCCACCCCAGCCATGGAAACTGCACCTCTAGTGTTTTGCTGGCAGGCTGCTCACTGATCTGAGTGAGCTGGGCTACATTTCTACTTTCTGTTTGCATGTGTATGTGTGTGTGCACAAGCTTGCATGTGTGGGCTCACGTGTGCACATGAATGTGGAGGCCAGGAGTTGATACGGTGCCTTCCTTGGTTGTTTTCTTATATAATGAGGCAGGGTGTCTCACTTGAACCCAGAGCTTGCCATCTGGCTGGTCTACCTAGTCGGTGTGCTTGGGAGATCCTGTCTCTGCCTCCTTGTACAGAGATGATAGGCAAGCTACTACACCCGCCTGGCATTTACAGGTGCTGGGGAGCTGAGCTCCAGTCCTCATGGCTGTGTGACAAGTGCTCTTACCCACTGAGCTATCTCCCAGCCTTTTCTGGCCAACCCCCTCCCCTGCCAAAGCCCTTCCTGTTATGGGTGAGCACATATTGGAAGTGATTATTTGGGAAATTTGGGGTTCATGGTATTTAAAGGTCCAAAATCCCCTCTGTGGCTGCAGACCTTGTCAAAGGAAGCGGGGAGCTTGCTCTGCCGACTACGGAAAAGCTGGAAAGTCCTCAGGTTTTGGTGGGTTGGAAACCCTGGGTCTGATGCCGTGAGGAGGCGGCTCGTCCTTTCAGATCATCTCCATTCATGTTGCTACTTCTCAGCGAATGGGAAAGTTTGAAGAACTACCTTGCGGTCCAACACTGACTTGTCTTCCAAACCTGCACCAGGCCTCTGCTGATTATTCCCAGGATGCGCGGGTGGAAGCCCTTCTGCAGGAAATGCCTGTTTCAAGTGGGAGTCCCACCTCCCCACGGCTCCTCCAGGCATGGGTGCACCTGGCCTTGGGGCAGGTTCGGTTAGTCACCCAGGGCAATCGGCACCATCAGGAGTCCAGGTGTTCGTGCCTTCCCTCACGGCTGTCCCTTCTCAGGGAGGCCCTCCTGCCTTACCCTCCATCTCCTGTGTCCCCGAACCTATTAAGTGTTGGTTTGAACTAAAATCTGGAGATTAAGGATTTTAACTTGCAAAAGGACAGACAGGAGAAAACACAGAAGAGGAGGCGCCTCAGCACAGTCCCCAAGATCCGAGACCCTGAGTCCCCAGTGACCTGGCTACCCAGGATGCCCCTCACCTACCTCATTGGGCTCCCAAAGCCAGACGTCGAAGGTGGGCTTCCGCAGGGTTTCGATGGTCTCTGGAGAGAGCAGGTACTGGAGAGGACAGGAGAGGTGTGTCAGCCAGGCGGGGAGGCTTCAGTGCAGTGACAGAGGCGGTGACTTCCGCTGTCTGCACTCAACATTTTCTCCCTTCTCCCACCCCTTCACAGACACTGTCCCGTCTCAAGCCTGACTTCCTCTAAAAACTGTTGTCTCCCATCAAAAATGGTCTGGGTCCGGGTACAAGGAGCATGTGGGAATGTTTGGGTGATGGAAATAGTCCTTCTGCTGATCATTATGAACATTTCATGACTGTATATGTGTCAAAACCTAGAGACTCAGGTTCTAAGAAGGAGGGCTATATGGCTTTCAGTCAGATCTCAATACACCCAACAATGAAAACTATGTAAAGTGAAGGGAAACAGATCACTGGGCATATGTCTAACCCCAGCTCAGAAGCTCTGTGAGGTTCGTCTTGCAGGGAAACACCCTGGGCTTCAGCTGTGAGCTAACCCCCACACCTGCTGATGCAGGCCTGTGCCCAGAGCTGGCTCCATGAAGCCCCGAGATTTAGGGTGAACTGTCAAAAATAAGGCTGACATTCCAGATGTAAGGCAGAAGCAGTGACTGGCATTTGGGCTAGCCTTCTCTATCTTCCTGAGAAGGAACTGGTGTGGAGACTGGCCCTGACTCTTCCGGGTCTAGGCTGTGTAACTCTGGGACAGGATCTCAAGAGATGTGGGTCATATTTTCCCACATGGAAAAGGCATAATCTCCATGGAAAATCCTGGATGACACACTGCTTGGACCCATGTGGAGCAAGTCACTGACTAGTGGGTACCGGGGGTCTATGGCTGGTTCCAGGAGGACCTATGGGTGGCCAGTCTTGGCCTCCTCACTCTGAGGAACCTGTGATACTCTAACCTTGGTACAAAAGCTGGGGTTTGTGCTGAGGCCACTACTGAGAAGGTGACCTTCTTTTGTAGACATCTGCAACAATTCAACTCTACAGCAGGCAGTGAGCAAGGGCCTAGCTTCTTTTGTAACCAATCAAACTTTTGTGCAGAACTTTCCATAAAAACTCTGTGTTGTTCAGGGACAGGGGATCCAATGAAGCAGATTTTAAAAATCTAGTTCCTTAGCATAACATTTGTGTGCAGATGTCTGTCACAGTCAGCTGTGGGCCAGGGAGGGCAGCCAGAAGAGCCATTACCGCCTTGCAAATTTAAGTACGGTCTGGAATCACTTCTGCTAAAGAAACGTCCAAGAGAGACATGTTCTTCCTGGCAGCCTCCCACACCTTCTGCAGCCAGGGACGGGGATGGACAGGGCTGTTAACACTGCACAGAGAGAGACGCCAGCCAAGGGCTCCTATGTCCAGGGGTTGGGGGACATAGAGTTGGAGCTGTATCTGGGTCAGAAATCCATCTTACCTTGGGGTAAGTAGGGACATCACGTCGAGGTGTCAACTTCTTGTTATCCAAAAAACTGTATTTACAGGGACAGTTGGTCCTGGAGAGCAGAAGTTGAGCTTAGTTACAGAGTCATGCTCCAGCTTGGCAGTACCTGTGTAGCTACTGGGGCTCGGAAGCAAACAGAACCCAGAGCCCCGGCCCCAAAACCTGAAGACTCAGCCACAGCCCCCCAGCTCCAGTCCCTCTAGCCCCAGCCGTAGAACCTGCAGAGCCAGTCAACTGGATTTATCATGGGAACATCGGTCATAGAGGCTGTGAACTGCCTGGCTCTCAGCCAGCAAGGAGGAAATACCCAGAAGGCCAGATGATACAGGAGTGGCATGTCTATGTTTTTAAATGGCATAAGTAAAACATTCTCTCTCTACTTTTTTTGAGACAGAATCTCTCATGTAGCCCATGCTGGCCTCAAACTTCCTATGTAACCAAGGATAATCTTGAACTTCTGATCGTCCTGCCTGAGCCTCTTAAGTGCTGTGATTACAGATGTACCATACCAGCCTTAGATTATGTGTCACTGGAAACTGAACCCAGGGTGTCTTGTTTATTAGGCAAGAACTCTGCCAACTGAGCCACGTCCTAAGCGCAGTAAAACATTCTTATCCTAAAAAATTCAGCTGGATCTGGCAGCACACGCCTGTGATCTCAGCACTCAGGAGGCTGAGGCTGAAGGATCTTGAGTTTGCAGCCAGCTCGGCCTGTATATCAAGATCCTGACTCAAAACAATGGAGGAGAAAAGGAGAAAGGAACCTTAAGTCTTTACTTGCCCACCTCTTTCCTATTTCGCATCCTGGGCATCGCACTGTGAACAGTTTGTTGTCTTTTTGGAAGATTCCTAGACATGGACAGGGTCTCCTTGTAGCTCCAGCTGGCCTGGAACTTGCTATGTAGACCAGGCTGGCCTTGAACTCAGAGATCCACCTGTCTCTTGAGTGCTGGGATTAAAGGCATGCGCCACCATACCTGGCTAGCACTAGAACTTTCAAACAAAGGTGGAACTGTACCAAATTTACTCTATGGTAAGCTTGCCTCTTAAATTTAACCTCATAAACTCATTCCATGTGCACCACAGAGCTTAACTTTGACTTTTTAAAATTACATTTGTGTGTGCCAGCATTTGTTTGGAGGTCAGAGGATTACTGCAGAAGTCAGTGTCCCCTTCCCTCTCGAGTTCCAGGACTGAGCTCAGGGTATCAGGCTTGGTGCACCGTGCCTCTCCCTGCTGAGCCATCTCACTGGCTCTCACTTTGATTTTTAATGCACTTAAAATGCTTGTGGGTCTTCCAAGGTGTGGTGACTGCAGTCGCTGACAATCCAGTCCCAGTGGGGGATGCTTGGGTTTTTCCCAGTTTCTCCAGTACAGCCCAGGACTTTTCTGTTTCATTTTCCCCACTCAGCTGTCTGACCAATCAGAGCGAACAAGCCAGGTGTGTTTTGAAGCACACTGGCTTGTAGTATGGTGTGTGTGTGTGTGGGGGGGGGGCTGGAAAGATCCAGAACTGGTTGAGGAACTTAGTTGGAAGGGAGCATGTTCCTCCTCAGTTACAGGGTGGTGATTGGGGCAGGAGTAGACCTGGTTTCTTTGGTGTTCACCCAGCTGCAGGGCAGGGGCCAGAACACCAGCACAGCAGGAGTGCATGCAACGGGGAAATACAATTGCATCTTCCAGAAGAACCTGAGGGTTCAGTCTGGGGAATTTAGCTTAAGAAAGAAAACTAAATGTGAGCAAACAGCTTTTCACACAGACCCACTGCTGTGTGGGTTACAAGGCAAAGCCAAATTCGGACCCACCTGAAAGACCCCAAGTGCGAAGTGATGTAAACCTCGGTGACACCTCACCGTGAAGGACAATTATACCATTGTGAAGATAACTATGGGTGTTGCATGAAGCAAGGGAATTTCAGCAGAAAGGAGAAAAAAGATTACAGCTAGTGAGCCGGGCATGGTGGCGCACGCCTTTAGTCCCAGCACTCGGGAGGCAGAGGCAGGCGGATCTCTCTCCATAGTGAGTTCCAGGACAGCTGGGGCTACAGGGAGATCCTGTCTCAAAAAGAAGAAGAAGAACAAGATTACAGCTAGCAAGAATGATAACGGAAAAGTTACTAAGCTGTAAGAACACACATCACATTTGGTGGACTAAGAAAAAGAGGATGGGCCAGTGGGCCTGGTAGTGCTTGCCTTTAATCCTGGCACTCAAGAGGCAGAGGTAGGCGGAGCTCTGTGAATTCAAGGCCAGCCTGGTCTACATAGAGTTCCAGTCTGGCTAGGACTACATAGTGAGCCCTTGTCTCAACAAAACAAAGCAAAACAAAACCCCAAAGAGGGTAGGATTGTGCCCTTGTGTCAAAAATCTGTGAACTGTATGGTTAAATTTTTCCGTAATTCTATAAAGTTTTGGACTGGAAAACATTTTAAAGTTGTTTTTCAAAACCAGATGTAAGAGGGCTGGAGAGACGGCTCAGTGGTTAAGAGCACTGGCTGTTCTTGCAGAGGACCCCAGTTCAGTTCCCAGCACCCACATGGCAGCTACCAACCATCTATAACTCTAGTTCCATCTAGATCCCTCCATCTAGAGGGAGCCGACGCCCTCTTCTGTCCTCTGCAGACATTGCACAACAGGAGTGCACTTACATGCAGGCAATACACTCATACACACT